GATAGCTTAATTTCTCTATCGAGTAAAAGTTATATCGCGATACATATCGTTATCGTTCTATCGCCCAGCTCTACTGGAAACTTCTTGTTTCTCTGCATCTCTGAGCATCTCTAGTGCTAAACAGTTCTGATGTGTGTAGCCTGCTATTGGGTCACCAGTGTGAACGCCCCTGAACAGGAAGCATATTTTAGTTTCTGCAATTAAAGATGTTTTGCAGAAGCGCATCGGCGTCCGGCTAACAAACCGACAGGAGCGGTCTTTGAGTCGGTGCTTCACTCAGTCGTTTGAAGCTGAGATTGTTCAGGTGTGGACTTCTAATCTTAGCATCACAAGCCCTTTCTCTGTCCCTCCCTGCAGATCTCTCAGCACTCTGGGTTTAGTCATCTCTGCCTTGGCCGACCACGGAGCAGGGAAGAACAAGAGCAAGTTTGTCCCCTACAGAGACTCTGTGCTCACCTGGCTGCTCAAGGTACAAGAAAGGAACTTTGTTTTCAAGTATGCAGCCTCAGATCGCACTGCAAACTCACATCGGAGGATTTCTTTTGCCTCAAATGAATTAATTTTGTGACGTTTCAAGGCACTGCTGTTTGTTTCATTAGTTCTGCTCGGTTTGAAAAAGGCTCCATTTGCCAGCTTTGGGTGTTTAATTTGCGATTTTCAAATCAGTCTTTACAATGCTATCTGGAGCCAAATTAATGGTGTGAAATGTTGTTTCCCCAACATCCTAGATTTCAAACTGCGTGCTCATGAGTCATTGTGCTTAATTATATTACTGTAATGCTCAGAGTTTGGGGGGTAATAACTGAGTTTAAGGTGATGTTCGTACCTGCAGGACAGCCTCGGAGGGAACAGTCGCACCGCCATGGTGGCCACTATCAGCCCAGCAGCAGACAACTACGACGAGACGCTGTCCACTCTTCGTTACGCCGACCGGGCCAAGAACATCGTCAACCACGCCGTGGTGAACGAAGACCCCAACGCAAGGATCATCCGCGAGCTACGAGAGGAAGTGGAGAAGCTGAAGGAGCAGCTCACCGAGGCGGAGGTTTGGCCTCGTTCAGCCTGCGACTGATCAGTGAGCATTATGGGTAATAATCCAGTGACACGTCCAGAGTCTAATGAAGCTGCTGTCACTCTCAGTCTATGAAGGCCCCCGAGCTCAAGGAGCGACTGGAGGAGTCGGAGAAACTGATCCAAGATATGACGGTCACCTGGGAGGACAAACTTAGGAAAACGGAGGCCATTGCACAGGTAGCAACACACAAACACACAAGACCGCATACAAAACACGTCACCGTGGCTTTCTGATAGCGTTTAAATCCTCAGTGTTTGGAGTTATCAGCTAACGCTCGAAGGCTTTGACAGGAAGGTGTAAACACTGTTAAACTACAAACTAATTAAATTATGGGATTTCACCAACGCTGAGACGGACAGTACTGCACGCACGGCCATGCTGTTGGTCACATCATTCTATAAACTGGGCCAAAAGACACCAACAGCACAGCTAAGAGGGTTAGCAACTTCAGTCAGCTGTTTGTCACCTCACTGGGAGAGGGTTGCATCCAACCTCTACGTGTTACTAGTATTCAAATGGATAAGGTAAAAAATACATTCAGCCACTGTGCAGCGGTTTGAAATGAACTGAAAGCATCCATAAGTGGTGGTAGTGATGGTGACGCTGTCATTGTACCAGCCCGTAGACCTGCAGCCTCAAGTGGCCGTTAGAGGAACTGCAGTTCAACGCTTCAGCTTAGCTTCAGTTTTCAGGACACGCTGAATACGTTATTTTTCCATCTCTATCCAGAGGAATATATTTTTAAAAACTCTCTTTGAACTCAGAATCAATTCATTTATTGAGCTGACGCATGTCATCAGTCTTTTGTTTTGTTCATGATGGAGATTGTTTAGTATCCCAGCCACTTCTCTTTTCTTCCATCAAGCAGCTCCAGATCAGAACAATCGCTCGGTTAGTTCCTGTGTTGAACGTGACGTGTGTTCTCTGCAGGAGCGTCAGAGGCAGTTGGAGAGCCTGGGCATTTCTCTGCAGTCGTCTGGTATCCGAGTGGTCGAAGATAAGTGCTATCTGGTCAACCTCAACGCTGACCCTGCCCTCAACGAGCTGCTGGTCTACTACCTAAAAGTACCGAGAACTCACCATCCATCCTAAATACATCGAGTTGCTGCCATTTGATTGGCTGATTAGATGTTTGCATTAACAAACAGCAGATGTGCTCAGGTGCAGCTGTTTTGCTTGTGTTAGTATTCAGATTGTTAAGTGACCGTTGTCCTGTATCCAGGATCACACGCGCGTGGGTTCAGCCAACTCACAGGACATCCAGCTGTGTGGGATGGCCATCCAAGCAGAACACTGTGTCATTGACGTCACAGAGAGCCACGGCGTGGTGCTCACTCCTCACCGCAATGCTAAGTATGTAGCTAGCCCGTGACAAACGATACTGCAGAAGACCGGCTCATTGCGATGCTCACAAAGCTGCGTTCAGTTTGAATTGGATTGCAGGTCAATCTCACAGCTGCAGACAACACTTTCCTGCAAAGTGCCTCAAATGTTAGCAGCAATGACGAGCACTGTGGAGCTGCCACCAAGCACTTTGGTGACAGCAGCTGTGTTCTGTTTAATAGCTTCATATTTTTCCAGTGTGATTGTTTCCGTCCATGTTGGTTATTGATCACATGCAGCAAACTCCGGTGATATGGACAGGCTACATTTGGAAACCCTGCGTTGATTTTAGTTCAATCTGCATTTGTGTGACTGCTGATGTCAGACTGAGTGAATCCATCTAAGGAAAAGATGCCCTGGGTTTGCTCCATGTGCTTTGTAGTAGAGCACCAGGATGCACCAGCCCGACTAAAATAAAATGTTTTTATGAGTTGAATCTGAGCCGTGTGCTCTAATAATGATGCAACAACCTAAAACTATACTTAATATTTTTGGGAGAGTTCATTTGTTTCTGTAGATGCACATCAAATGTTTGCTTTGTGCTTTCTCTGCAGAACGTACGTGAACGGCACAGAGGTCGTGAATCCCGTGCAGCTTCACCATGGCGACAGGATCCTGTGGGGGAACAACCACTTTTTCAGGTGTGCGTTTGAACCTGGATCTGCGGCGTCGTATTTCTCACGCCGACATTTGTTACATGTGGTAACAAAGTGTTTCTCTTTCACTCTGCGACGCTTCCTCTTTGTCCGACTCGCTCTTTCCTCTGTGCGAATCAACACGCGAGCACAGGATCAACCTGCCCAGGCAAAAGGTGCAAAAGGGGGGTGAGGATGAGGAGGATGCCGCGATGACAAAGCGTTCGAGCAGCGACTGTCTGGAGGTCGGCGAGCCGGACGCGTGCAGCGACGTGTCGAGCGAGAGGAGCTTCGGCTACGAGTTCGCCCAGGCCGAGGTCATGATGAAAGGCATGTGGAACAACGGTGAGTTAGAGTAACGGAGGGGGGAACGCTTTTTCAAAATGTTGCCTTCAAATTGTAACATTGTTGTCAATGGTCAGCCATTTGTTAGATGAGCTAATAAAAGATGTTTGTTTTTTCATTTTTTGAAAAATTCTTTTTTTAGTTTTTGACCTAAAAGAAGAAAAAATCTTGAAGCGTTTTGTTGATACCCTCACTTCAAGCTTGGCAGGTGTGCTGCTGTGAAATGGAGTGAATGCAGAGTTTGAATGTAAAAATATAAATAATGTGAAGAACAGCCAGAGTCAGACACAGTAATGTGTCCTCACTGTGTTACTGGAAGCCAAAGCAGTTCTGACAGGCTTTGATCTGTTAGTGGGGTCGATTTGGTTTGAGGTTTATCAGCGTTTGTGTGTCTGCAATGCTTCCAACCACTGACTCTCACACTCACACCTACAGTGTGTCTCTAATCGAAAGCCAGAATAATCAGTGTCTTCTCAATTATCCTCCCCGTGTCCTCCTGCAGACCCGTTGCAGTCAGTGTTGCAGACCCTGGAGAAGCAGCACCAGGAGGAGAAGCGCTGTGCTCTGGAGCGCCAGAGGCAGATGTATGAACAGGAGCTGCAGCAGCTCCGCCAGCGAGTCACCCCCGAGAAACCATCGGGCATCCCAGGCAGTGCTACTGCAGCCGTGTTGTCAGCCGGCTCAAACAAACGTGTGCGTCGCTGGAGCGAGGACAGGTGGCGCTGTTCTCTCTGTCGGATAGGTCCCCAAAGAAGAAATCCAGGAGCTTCTGCACAGCGTGGCTGACTGTCATCGTGTCTTTGTGTTACAGAGAGGCCATGATAACCCGCAGCCTGCGACGACTTCAAGAGCAGATCGTTCGGGCTAGGCTGTTGGCTCAGGAGGCCGGCTTCATTGCTGAGGAGCTCAACAAAAGGACTGAGTATCTGGTCACTCTGCAGATCCCGGCCGCCAACCTGGACGCCAACAGAAAGGTACAGCAGGGTGACGTCTGCTGCTTTAAAACAAACGTGATACCTGTTAAAGAGAAGGTGACGATAAAGGCTTCACAGTTCGGTCGCAGCAACATTTGATGAGGAAAAGTGTTGAAATGATGTTTCAGTCCTCTTGGGTTGAACTCGTAAAGCCGTAGCCGATTGTGGATGGAAATGCTGACAGGGTCACGTTTGTTAAAGCCTTGTTTGGTTTTCCTGTCGCTGCAGCGCGATGCAGTGCTGAGCGAGCCGGCCATCCAGGTGCGGCGTAAAGGTAAAGGGAAGCAGATCTGGGCTCTGGAGAAGATGGAGAACAGGCTGGTGGACATGAGGGAGCTCTACCAGGAGTGGAAGGAGCTGGACGAAGACAATCCAGTGAGTGGAGACACGAACTAGAACGCCCACAAATAGGACGCAGCATGCATCAAACTGATGAAAGCCACGCAGCAGGAACGCTCATTAGTCAGAGCGAAGTAGAAGCTCGTTTGTGGGAAAGCTGGGAACAAAAAACATAACATGTGAGACTGAGAAATATAAATGTTTTTTGTTTTTTGTTTTTTTATTTGCTGACAACAGCAGACTACATGAAAGTTGTGATTGAGGTTAAAGTTGTAACTGCCACTAAGTGGAACGTCTCGTAAGGTAACAATAACCTGAGTATTAGAGCCTGCGGCTCGCTCTGCTGTCAGTGTGACAGCGCAGGCCAGTGGTGTCCAACTCCAGGCCTCGAGGGCCACAGTCCTGCAGGTTTTAGGTGTCCTTGATCCAACAGGCTGATTTAAAGGCTGAATGACCTCCTCAACATGTCCTGAAGTTCTCCAGAGGCCTGGGAATGAACTATTCAGGTGTGTTGAGCCAGGGCGAGATCTAAAACCTGAAGGACACCTCAGGTGTTGGCTAAGCCTGGTGTAGGCAGCTTGAAGGAGCAAATCTTTCACTCAGTTTGTTGGAGTGAAATGAAACAGGAGCTCCCCCAGAAGAAGAACGGGGGTAAGAGCAGGTTGGTGTTTTGGTCTGCAGTTCGTCCAGTCTGCATGTTGAGTGGTTTTCTCTGTGTGTGATTGGTGCACCTGTGTGCAGATGTTTGGGTGGATGAGGGATTATACATTCTCACTAACTCTTGCTTCCTTTTTCCCCGATCGAGGTGATGCGCTCCTATTTCAAACGTGCCGACCCCTTTTTCGATGAGCAAGAGAATCACAGCCTGATCGGTGTGGCCAATGTCTTCCTGGCCTGTTTGTTCTACGACGTCAAACTGCAGTACGCGGTGCCCATCATCAACCAGAAGGGAGAGGTACGATTGTTTTTGCTTTACGCCGGCATCTCGCCGCCTCGTTTTCAGCCACAGCAGCCATGTTTTTCCCTCTGATGAACTGGAGAAGTGTGAACTTACCTGCACAGCACCAAACGGACAGTTAGCAGCTAGCTGATGGTGCTGAAATGCCCGTGTGTGTTTCAGGTGGCAGGTCGGCTTCACGTCGAGGTGTGGCGTGGTACAGAGAGCTGTGAAGAGGAAGGTGGAGGCGGTCCTGACAAGCAGCTGAGCAGCACAGATGGAGATCCACATGAGCGCAGACTCCGCTGCGTGGTGAGAGGATTTCAGTTTCTTTAACAGGTCAAAGTCCAGCTCTGCAGAAACCCAGCGTGCCCCTCCGAAACACTGCTAGTCATGCCTCTGCAGGACACGAAGTCATAATCCTGCCTGTTGTAGGTCTCCACTTAAAGCGAGCGTTTCTGCCCCGTATGATGGAGCTGGATGCACTCGTGTGAAGTGCGGCAGGTTTACTTAACTTTAGCTTGTCAAAGGAGCTTGCAAAGAAAAGCGTCTGGACTTCTTTAAGTTACTTGAAGACGTTTCACCTTCATCCGAGAAGCTTCTTCAGTTCTAAGGTCAAATGGTGGAGAGTCCCAGATATAAACCTAGTGGGAGTTTCCCCCCACAGAGGGACAAAAGGACCC